TACAAAAAACAACATTGAAAACGTCAAATTTTTAAATCAAATTTTAGAATGCAAAAAGTGACATTTAAAACTTCAAATTTTTAAATCGAATTTTAGAGTAGAAAATGAGGGAATTTTAACATTGTTTCTTCGTAATGGTGTTTAATAATTTGTTTACATGTCGAGATATAACATGAGAGACGTATTAAAAAGGAAAAAATATTTTAAAAATCTTATGACAAGAAAAGCAACTTTTGGAACACCCCATAGATGAATGCAAAAAGTGACATTAAAAACTTCAAATTTTTAAATTTAATTTTAGAGTAGAAAATTAGGGAATTTTAACATTTTCTCTTCATAATGGTATTTAATATTTTGTTTACATGGCGAGATACTTAATACAGGGTGGCCCATCGAAAACGTTCCGCAAGGCATAACGGCTAAGGTATTCTTTTTTTTCAAAAAATCCAAAAACACATCAATTTTGTTTGTGAGGGGGACAACTTTTGCCCCAAAAATGATTGCAAAATCGTCAACCCTCTAAGCGGGGGTGTCATCCCCCAACTTTTTTCAAATGGGAAGGGGGGTCAAGTAGCGCCGCAATGAAAAGAGCTTTCTATTCTCTATATTTCCCCGCATCGTTTTTGAAAATCGGTCGAGTCATTGAGAAAATATGAAGGATTGAAATTTGAAAAGTTTATTTAAACATTTATCAGAGTAAATGATAAGAATAAATTCCTTCGACTAATTTGAGTTTTTTTCTTATTATTTCTAGATGTTTACGCATTTTTTCACTTGCCACAAGGTTGAACGATCAGGTGCGGTAGTTGCTAGATAGCTGTTCTGTGACTTGTGCGTTGAAGTTCTTCTCAATATCGTTAAACTGACCTAGAATAGAATTTCCAGAAATACCAGCCCACATGTTCAATTTCTGAGGGTTTTTTTGTGTGCACCTCGTGAAAAACCCTGGGGTTGTCCTCAGCCGGGTACCGACAGTTGTGCTGATTAACTACACCGTTCAAAAAGAAAATACACTCATCTGAAATACACACATTAAATTGGAAATTATTATTATTCGCCACTCGTTCACTCATAGTTTCACAAAATTGCAAGCGATCAAAATCGTCTTCGTTGTGTTTTTGTACCAACTGAATTTTGTACGGATGGAACTTGTTTTTTTTTTAATATCCTTTTGACACTTGTACAATTCATGCCGGTCTCATTGGCTAATTTTCTTGTACTCAGCGTACTATCCATGGGAACTTGCAATACGAATACCTCCATAGCTTCATTTACTACAGAATTTTCCTTCTGCCTCTTTTTATTCATAACGGAACCAGTTTCGCGAAATTTTGCTACTAACTCGCGAACAATTTTGCCATAAAGGTGTTTGTCAGGATGGCGTTCATTGAATATCTGCGCAAACCGATTGCCACATTCATTATTTTTCAAAATAAAGTTCGATTATATCCACTGTTTCTGCAAGTGAGTACACCATAATTGTTAAAAAGTTTAACGATATTGAGAAGAACTTCAACGCACAAGTCACAGAACAGCTATCTAGCAACTACCGCACCTGATCACTCAACCTTGTGGCAAGTGAAAAAATGCGTAAACATCTAGAAATAAAAAAAAACCCAAATTGGTCGAAGGAATTTATCCTTATCATTAACTCTGATAAATGTTTAAATAAACTTTTCAAATTTCAATCCTTCATATTTTCTCAATGACTCGACCGATTTTTAAAAACGAAGCGGGAAAGTATAGAGAATAAAAAGCCCTTTTCATTGCGGTACTACTTGACCCCCCTTCCCATTTGAAAAAAGTTGGGGGATGACACCCCCGCTTAGAGGGTTGAAGATTTTGCAAACATTTTTGGGGCAAACGTTGTCCCCTTCATAAACAAAATTGACGTGTTTTTGAATTTTGAAATTTTTTTTTGGCTTTGAAAAAAAATTACCCTGGCCGTTATGCCTTGCGGAACGTTTTCTATGGGCCACCCTGTATTATGATATTATGGCATCTTAGAGAAAATCTACCGAAAAATCTACTAAAAATTGTTAATTTCAAAAACAGATTTCAACCGACTAATTAATGTAAATTCACGTAATAAAATAGAAAAATTGTAGTAAGGCAATTACAGACAAGATCAATATTATACATTTTTCGGCAAAACCGCCAGAAAGCAATTCAATCAGGTTTCTGTCAATAACGGATGCAAAGCGTATTCGCGTTCGACCTTTTCAATGGCAGTTCAATAAAAGTCTTTTGTTGTACTTTTGGATGGAGTTCGACAACGCTCCAGGTTAGGAATACGAGGAACGTATGGGAATATCGCCGGTATTTCGCGGCGTACGGGCGATGGAAATGCGGGGTTAATTCTATTATTCTTCGCAATAGAATAGAATATATTGGAAGGGAGCATTTAAAACGAATAATTTTAGGTCGCAGGACATGAAAAATCCATTTCTGATCTTGCTCGAAGATATATTATAAGAAATGCGGATCGTGTAACATTATATTGTGAAAAAAATGTCTATTATCTGACAAACGGATCTGAAGCAGCGACAGGAATGCGGACAAAAAGTATGGATGTTGTCAAGTTTAACTATGCAAAAGCAAAATTGCTCGATATTACCTGCAAATTTAATATATTTCTAGTCCAGTCCAGCATACATAATTATACAAGGTGAGTGTTAAATTAGTGCAAACATTTTTAGCACTGATATATCTCGATAAAAGAAACATCTTTTTTACCGTTTTCCAAATAAATCCAAAATAACCGAGTTATTACATTGAAATTTTACTAAAAAAATCACTTTTTGCTAAAATTTTGAGAGCCACTAGACATTTTCTGGGTTTTCTTCCTTGTAAATGTAATCTATGTTGCCATATTATCAAGAAATTATGGTTTTTAACTAAAAAGTAAAAAAAATCCAAAATTTTTTTCAGAAAATTCCAAATTTTCTGAAATTTCTGATTTTTTTTGCGAAAAAAACTTCATAATTGTGATTCTGTGGTCGAAATATACTACCCCTAAAAATATTTGCACTTATTTAAGACTCAACCTGTATATACCTAGGTATAGTAAGTATTTCAACATAGTTCTTGTTGTTAAATATATGTATATTTATTTAGTTAACTGGTTTCTTTCTTTCTGTCTATTATAAAAGCTAAATATTTCCTAAGATATCAACCGCTTCGGGCGAGTCAGCCGCTGAGAAAATTAGAAATTGATAACAAATGCTAAATAAATGTATATAAAAAACTTAATGTAATATGTATTAAAAAAATTGGGCCCAGTTCGTGTGATTTGCATTTTAAGTTCTAACTATATGGAAAGGTATACAGATTATGTTTGCTCATATTATGTACAGTTTTTATCATATTGAAAAGGTCAAATTTATTTTAAATCTTGAAAAAATAAAAAAGACAGTTCTTTGATTTTATAAATACAACTTTATTGATATACAGTGTGCCCACGAAATAAATTGACACGAAGAGGAAAAAATCAGTTTTATTTTAATACAAAAAGTCAACCGATATAACCACCCGGTATAACATCCGGCGGCAATTCGCGGCAGCCAGTGGCAATTAATTTATATGCAATATACTTTAAGCAACAAGTATTATCATGCCGTTTAAGAGGATTTGGAAGGGAAAGTAGTTAAAAGTCTTAAAGAGTAACATGCAAAAATGTAAAAATACTACTTTTATTGCCTTTAAATAAACTGCCGTAAACTAATATTACTTAGGTTTAATTAAGTGCAAAAAAGAAAAAACAGTTCTTTCTACCTTCTTTTCGAACGTCCATTACAGAAAAGGCAACAGCTTTTATCAATTTTAATAAAATAGGTAATTAATTGGCGTTATCAGAAAACTGTTTATGTCAGCTTGATACCAGTAACAAAAATGTGACTTTTCTAATAAAAAAAGCGCTACACTAGGCTTATTTGATTTTGTTATTTATTATGTATCGTTTACAGGGGAATATAAGAAAAGTATTAGCAACAGTTTCATGGAAACATTTTGAAATTAATATTTCTAAGTAATGACCAATCTGGGAACCACTATGATCCCGACGTCAACCAATCTAATTGAAGGAAATACTTGCATGTTTCGTTACCATATGGTAGCCATGCGCATAATGCTTTCCTATTGGCTAGTGCCCAAGGGTATTTATTTAACAGGTTGCCTCGTAACTTTGGACCAATCACAGTAGTTGGCGCGATTACGTCAGCTAACGGGACATTTAAAATAACTGTTAACAAAATGTTTAATAGTAATAACAATTACCCACAAGCTAAATTGTTTTTCTATAAAGTCTATATATTTTTTTCAAATTTTGCTGACATTTAACATTTTTAAGCAATGTTTGTATTCGAAAAAAAAATAGTTTTAGCTTTTTACCATATTAAAATATCGCAAGCTAGTCGAAATAATTTATTATACATATACATCACACAACAAAAACAATATTGAGCATTATAGGCTGTTACAGGTAGGAATAATCTCTATTTCTAAGGAAAATTTGATAAATAATTTTAAAAAAACTCTCTAGTTTATCAATTATTATACGTTAAGTACACTGAAACTAAAAAAAATATAGTATGCCCACTAAAACTGTCCTATAATCCACTGACATGCATTTAATACACGGAAAACATTCAGAAAACAATGTAAAATTATTTGTAAACGAGCTGAAAACTGCTGGCTACCAGACGATGACGCGCAATATGGCGGCTAATGTCAAGTTACCAGGCAACCTGTTTAATTTAATAACCTTATCATAAATTATCAATAACCGCATCCCCAATTTTATGCCTCTCCCTGGAAATAGTTGAAGTATTGACTAGTATTGAACTATTCAGTGGCGTATTGTATTTTAGGCAGTTAGCTATTGTATAGTCTTGAACATTGTTCTACCATCAATATTTTCATTGAAATGATATTTGTATAATTTTATTTATTTCAGATTTGTTTATGCTATATTTTATTATTATATGTATTTTTTCTTCTAGCGATCCCAAAGAAATAAGAAGATACTTTATCGATTTAGAACCATCCATGGAACACCAGCACGTAGACATTAATTCTCAAAAATGTGTCTATGAAATCATAAATGTATAAAAATATAACTAACGTTAATATAAATTTTCTATAACGCTTTGTACTGAATTTTTTTCTGTAAGTTCTGAAATTATTAAACAATAATGCTTATATTTGTTATGTTTGAAATAAATATTGAAAGTTATGCATAATTTTTTCATCTGCAGAATCTAAGCTACGTAAAATTTACACTTTACCATGTTAAAAAAATTGCTAAAAAGAGTGCTACTGATAAACCTAAATTGAACCCAGTCGTAATAAAATACCTTCACGGTCTGGTTAATTTTGATCGTATAGTCCTTTCCATATATGATACCAATTAATCATTTAGTTACGTTTTTGGTTTAAATAAATAATTTTATGATTCTTTAAAAAAAAAGCTTAAAAATGTTTACTAAAAGACCTTGCAGTCGACCATTGTTCTTTTTAGAACATCTTTTAGTGCAAAGTGTACAAGATAGCTTAATAACCGTAAAAAAACTCATCGCTATTTTATACCCCTTAAGTGCTGTTAAGAAGGTGAGTTTTTGATGTAAATAATAACTGTTTGTATATTTTTAATTAATTTATTTTTGTTTCCTAAAATATTTTGATTAAAAGAAAATAGGTAAAAGTAGGCAACGGTGTGCCGGTCAAGTTTAATCACGTGACTAAAAGTTTATTTGATAATAACTTTAAGTCTTCTTATTCAGCGTATTAATTTTATATAAAATTCTTTGCCGCAAATCAATTACCCCCGTTAAATACTCTCATCTATGGCGATAATTCGATTCTGTGGCACGTCTCCAATAGCTAGGTGACTGCTACATCTATCTATTCGTTTCGATATTAATTTTCTCGGCGACCAATCGAACGGCGGCAAGAGATTTGCCCGAAATAAGCTCGGAGATGAATTCTTCGACTTGATTAATAATATTCCGGCCGGTGAATTACTTGAGGGATTAGTTATCATCCGGCTCAGGAGCGGAATTTAAAAGTTACGTGAGCGCACATTTATTGGCAATTTTTCATTAAAATTCCCAGATTTATTTTGGTTGCTTTTTATAATCGAGTAGTTATATAAAATTGTCTGTCTAAGTAATACAATATTATCCAGAAATTTTACGATAAAGTTTGCTTGAAACTAAAAGGATCTCGGACTTCCATTGTCTTTTTTTTTATTAACACAACGGTCAGCAAAAAGTTGGGTGCAGTCAATCCACGTGAAGTTGTCCACTTGAAAGGCCTGCATTGGTGCGTTTTATCAGTGGTTGCCATATCGTAGATATTTCCGTACTAGAATTCCTAAAAATTATATTATTGTTTGTCATAAAAACTGCTTCTTTAAATTTACGCTTTTTCCAGTGAGGTTTCCTGTGGACAACCCGAGCTTCAGACCACTTTCTATTGTGCTGTTTTGACCAAACATGGTGAGCAATACCTGACTTCATTGTTTCACTTTTTTGTACATGTTTTTTGTGCTCGCGAAGTCATACATTTAGAGGACGTTTAGTCTCTCCAATATATGACTCACCACATTTACAAGGTACCTGATAGATGCGCTCTTTCTCTTGTTTCAATGATTCCGGCCTTGTTTTTGTTAGGACACTTCTTAGAGTCGATCTAGATTTGAAGACAGTTTTAATGTTATACTTTTTGGCTATTCGCCTTATCTTTTCTGACGTTCCTTTCACATATGGAATAGTCAAGAGAGAGGTAAAGCATCCTCCTTAGGTCGATGAACCACAAGTTGATATAATTTTGTCTAGGGACTTCTCTGAATAACCATTCTGAAGCAAATCCGTTTTAATATTATTTAATTCAACATTAAGTGATGCTTAGTTAAGTTAAGAATCACTTAATGTTAGCACATTAAGTGGGTTTTCTGTATACAGGAATCTCAATAGATCCCCCATTTCTGCTAACAAGGACTTCTAAAAACGGCAGACAGATGTTTTTCTCTTTCCCAGTCGTAAATTTGATGGAAGCAGTTTGTGAGTTGAGATGATTGAGGAAGGAATCCAGCTGTCTATCAGTTCCGTTCAAGATCATGAAAGTATCGTCAACATATCGAAGCAGATTTTAGGTTTGACGACTGCAGAGCTAATGGCATGGGTTTCAAACCATTCCATATGTTTATTAGCCATCACTGGAGAGAGCGAGGAACTCATCGGTATCTTTACCTTGAAAGTAAGAATTTTATAGAAACACCTCAAGACTTCCATCACTCCCCTAAGAGGCAGCGAAGTTCTTTCAGGAAAGGTTATGTCTGTTATACAGAGAAGACCAGGCTACTAGTAACATAGCAAGTTGCCGGACGAATTTACGTTTACCGGATTTGCGTTCGTACTAGAGATTCACTGCCGGCTAGTCGGCTAGTCAGGCAGTATGCAATTGCAGTTGTGCTTGGACGGGTCGGTCGTGACACTAGGAATATGACGCGAGGAGTGCCGAGTATTTATTATTTTCATTTTAAGTGTTTACCTTCACTTAAGGTAACATTTAAAATAAAAATACTTAGATATTTCTTATTTGAGTGTGTTAAATATTTATTATTGAGTGTACAAGCCAAAATTAAAAATAAATAAATTCTCTAAACCCGAAAAGAACTAAAATATTACTCTAAATAAAAAAAAAGTTATAACAAGTGTTCAAAAAGACCACCTTCTTGTGCTAGAGAGAAGCCTAGGCGGTCGTAAAATCCCCGTCTGACTGATTGGCTAACATATTAGGGCTAATAGTTTGGAAAGCCTCTCATATTTTTACTTGAAGCTCATCCAGATTATTAGCCCTATTATGACCATACACTTTGAATTTTACATAACCCTACAAAAAGAAATCATTGGGAGAAAGATCTGGTAATCTAGCGGGCCACAAAATAGTTCCATGTTCACTAATTAAACGGTTGGGAAAAGTATTGTTCAAATATTCTTGAACAATACGGGTATTGTGGGTAGGGCAACCATCTTGTTGAAACCAGACATTGTGGAATATTTCTCCCAATAACTCACGAATTCTAGCGCCAATCTGCTGCTGTAACAAGTCCAAATACTTTGCAACAGTTAAATTACCCTTTATAAAAAATGGACCAATCATATGCTTCCCTACAAAACCACCCCAAACACTTGCTTTAACTCCTGTTCTTCATTAATCAACACATCAGGCAACTCTTGATATAGTAGGTAAAGATGGAATTGGCCTGTTTACAAAAGTTTGTGGAAAAATTGTTTGTATATCCCGATAAGACTATTTTGGAAATACCATTTTACAATTTACAATTTGAATTTTGCCACGAACTTCGTAAACATCCATTATTTTACTTAAAAAATAAATTTTACACAAGAGCTGTAGCGAGAATCCATGTATTCGTTTTGGCTATTAAAACACGAATAAATACAAATTCTGTAACATTCTCATCACATATCTACCTATTTTTATTTTATCGCATTTTTTCGCCTGCTTTTTATCCGGCGGACGCGACGGGTATACGCTAATTCGTCCGGTTCTGCCTATGTTACTACTGCGGTGGTCCGGTCTGTATAGCCTCGACAATGTCGATCGATTCCTCCAAGGGGAAGTAAGTATATCAATTTTTCACAGCAAAACTAACAAATTTATTTGAAGGACTTAATTCTATATATTTGAGTATTTCTACAAAATCTTTTGAATTTTTAACACATGAAGTTGTTCCTTCTTTTAAGAACCCGATTGGTTAGGGTGCTTGTTAAAACATCAGTTAGTGTTTTGTTGATTAATAAATCGAACTATGCTAGAGTGTTACGGGTTCGGTTACGGGGTATAAAAAGTGCAGGCAGTAAAAGTTCGACTAATTAGATTCAATATTTCGATGAGCAGTGACCAAAGCGATCAGGTAACTTGTAGTTGGTTAACCTTGTAGTTCGTTACCGGCTGTAGACGGTCAAATAAATCTGATGAAATAAAATAAAAAGCAAAATACAAATAGAAAAGTAATAATTTCTAAATTTTACTATTTTATTTACTATTTATTTCTATTCCGACCGATAGTATACATACGCCTATGTAAAATAAATTTTAAAATGATGGTAAAGTGTTAATAAGGAAAAAAATAATAAAATATTCACTGTAGATACATACAAGAAAAAATCTAGAAATTACCAAAAAATCAGAAACAATTTTTTAAACATTCGCGTTGGATTAAATCAACTGAAAGCAAAGACAATGTTCATTCTAGAAGTAAAGTCAATAATAAATTAAAATACTCTTATTAATATTTTTTTATATAAAAATATATTTTTTTAACTAATATATATTTAGTAATTATTTAGTTAATTGAGTTGAATGACAGGTTTATCACCAGTGCAAAACCCAAGTAGCATTTTTGCACGACTTGCGACCACATGTTTACTAAACACAACGTTGGATTAGATACGAAAAATAGTTAGCTCCGTACCTTAGGTATTAAAATAAATGTAAACGTTGTTGTAACGTTGTGCCGACGTTGACCTAGTACTACAACAAAGTAAAAGCTTCTGCGACGTCGAATAAACGTTGTTTTGTAACCTTTTTTGCTTAAGTGATCTTTAGGTGATTCGGACAACGTAGTTACAATGTTGGGCAATAAAGAGTTTTCCGACGTCACTTTTAGGACCTATTCCAACGTTATGCAAACGTCGTCTGTTTTACTAATTCCAACGTTGTTTAGATTTCCTTATTCTTACGTTGGTAGGACGTCGAGCCACTACCTTTTTGCAATTGTATTGAACCATAACCTTAAATCTTAAATTTTCACTTCATTGTTCTGTTCAATCAGACAGTGCAGTGCAGTTTTTGTTTTTATAAAAAAAACTTAATTAAAATGGAACATAAGAAAGGTACATATAAAACTAAATTTAAATATACATCGACATATTACCGATACTTTATCCACTCCCTCGTTTATTTAGAATATAGAGGGCGGCACAAGCTAGACTCTAGGATGACTAAATTAGGTAATCTTGCGACTAGTATACTACCTGTTAAGGCTGAACTGCGACTTTATTAGTCCAGTATGCGACTACTCGAACTACTCCATCTTAATCTCCAAAACAACAAAGTGAAAGCCGCCATGTTGTTGAATAAGAAAATGGTTCGTTCTTAAAATAGCAATTCCTACTTTTTGAATACATTAACTTGAAATATTTGACC